GAACAGCTCCGAAGGCTATACTATCTCATAAACCAAACAGAAACAAACACAGGAAAAGATTAGGGGTAAGACACCTCCTGGAATGTTCCTTGCATCTCTAAGCCCTTTCTAGCTGATGCTGACAATTTAATGGAGCTTGAACTTGGGCACAGGCAACTCTTCCGTCCTTTATCCTTCCCTAGTCTAGATTCAAAAACAACGACAACAAACACATGTGTGTGTTGAATTTTACCTGTTCTATTTTTATATTTTAAGAACATGTGTCTTTAACAGCAAGTAGCCCAATATTTTATTCCTCAAACAAGTTGGCAGAAACATTCAACTGGAAAGTTGTTTCAAAGATTCAAGTAATCTTGGTGGCTTCCAAATCAAGGACTTAGTGCATGGCTAGTAAACCAGAAGTGGAAAACTGTAGACCATAACCAGCCTGAAACAAATCACACAGAATAAATGGGAAGGGGCAAAATCAAATCAGGAATTTCAAATCAAGAAGTGCACTGGCCTCAGATTCTAAACTATCTTGGTTTTTATTTAGGAAGTAAGGGTGGTAATACGAAGTCAAATCAAACCACCTCTCGTGCCTTATCTTTCTAATTCAGAAAATGAGAGGTTGGATAGATGAGCCCCTTTCAGTTGTGATCGTCTAGGCACAAGAAGTCCTAAGGCAGAAATGTTGTGTGCTCCCAGAAATGCAGGCAAAAGTAGGCTTTATTATATAGCAGAAGGTCACCAAAGTTAGCTATCTAGTGAGTAGCTTCTCTGACAAAGACGAGCTAACTTGTATTCTTGTGTGTACTGAAAAAAAATCATAACACTTCTAAGAGGGAGAGGATTTTACAGTCCCACCCAAAATAAAGATGTTGTCCATGCATTGCTTTCAAATTTTTAGAACAGAAGGGTATCCTGTCATTCAAAACAGTAAATTAAAGACCCAGACTCCTAGAGCTTCTACTGCTAGAATGATTATTCTTCGAGAAGAAGCACAAACAGCAGTGACCGTTTCTGGGTGTTGTTTTTTTTTTTTTTTTTTCCACAGACGTGCTCAGCCATCAGAAAAGCTTAATAAATCCCTATTTAGTATGCATTTATTCAGTGATTACATGAACTTTGACCTCTGAAGAGCTGTAGCAATTAGCTTCAGTGGCCAGCATCTTCTCTCACCATTCCCAACTGGCTTCCTTGGGTCTTCCTTTCTCATCTCAATAGTCCAGGAGAGTAAAAAATTTTAAAGTTGACTTTCTACCTGAGGTACTTGCTTTTGCACAAATGAATCACCCCTTCCTCCTTTCACCTCCTGTCTAAAAAGTCATCTCAGACAGATATTGGGGCTCTGATTGTCGATATTACTCAAATGCAAATGGATTTCAATTCAATCTTGCCCTGCACTCTCGCAAGGAAGATAAGCTCTCACGGCCCAAAGAGCCTCATTTCATAGCTCTTGGCATCTGAAATAAATCGGATCTCTTCTGTCAGGCTAATTTAACATTTTAAAAATATTCAATGTAATTTATTTTAAGTCAAATGAAACCTAGTGGATTGGCAGAAAGCTAGAGAAGGAGGGAGGAGAAGGGCAGCTGGAAGCTTCTCTCCCCACCACCAAAAAAAAAAAAAAAAAAGCCAGGAAGGGAGAGGAAAGTGTTTTAAGTTTCTAGTAAACACTGTTTAGCAAAAGAATAATAGGAAAGTTGCCCCTTTCCCAAAGAGGGATGGAACTATAATTGTTGCCTTTAGCAGAGAGCTCAGATAAACCGCTGGGACTCATTCTAAAGTGACCCATCACTGCATTCATCTCTTCTTGAACTTTCAGTGAACCTGAGATTAAACAGGGGTGAGCAGCTAAGCAGTTTGTTGTTAGCAGCCTTTTCAACAACCCTTTCAGACTGAGTAAATATTGATCGGTTTGAATCTGATTGCCCCAGAGGAAAACACCATGGCATCTGAATGGCCTCCAAAAGTAAACTTTCAAAGGTGAAGCCCAGAGCAGACTTCAGAGCAAGATCTTAACTCAGCCTTAGGTTGGGGACACCCTGAATTTCGGGAGTACTTTGAATGAGTGTGAAGGAAGTGAGGAGAAAATTTTGAAAACTGGAATTTTGTATTGTAATTATCTCAAGTCCCTAATTGACACTCTTGTCCTTTTTAAATTTATCAGTAAAATGTTATTTTCTGTTTTCCATCATTTGTTGTTTCGGTCACCATTGCTGTCATTTTTCAGGGAGCTAACCGTGTTCCTCAGAGACCAAAACAGAAAAAGAGAGATCTAGAAATAGGGTGTGATAAGGGTGTGATTTAATCAATTGGGACAACTAAAAAGATACAAATGTTTTCCTTGTTGAAAGGTATATTAATGTTTCCTAAATGCATTGCTTGTTAACTGATTTATTCCACGACCTAGAGAAGGCTTTGGATGTTTAGCCATAATTTATTGTTCTCCCCTCTCTCAGCTACATTAAAACCAGTACCTTGAAGACTAGAATCTCCAGGATTCCAGTGGGTCGGACCCTGCTTTTAGATATTGAAATCACGGCAATGGCATGCAAATGACACTTTAACACATTAAAGAATTTGGAAACCAGCCATCTGTTTTGCTGTGTGGCCTTACACTAATAAACAAAAGATACTGTATAAGGCCAGGGTGGGAAATGAAAGAAAGAGTTGGCCGACTTTGAAGTTCTCCTCCATCCACTTGAGTCTTTTAGAGGCAACCCCAGAGCCCAGGATCCCAGAGCCAAGGGGAGGGCAGCGGGTGCCCTTGATATGGCCGCAGCAACTGCGCCTGCAAAGTCCAGGCTTGCTCCCTTTGACAGAAGTACAGGAAATCTCCTGGGTGCTCTAGGAGGCCTGCAAATTCCAAGTTTTTGTAGGCTTTCTCCTCCCACTGCCAGCCCATCCTTTGTAAAACCCGCTTTGGAGAGGAAGGAAGTCATACGCCTGTATTTGTGATGTTGTATTTCTCCTCTACCCTTGGAGCTAAATTAAAGCCTCTGAAAATGTGTGATTGTAAAGGAAAAGTGGTAAGAGGTCTGGGAGGAGAGCCATTTTGAACTTTAATTTGCTGGCTTCCTCTGTTAAAGAGCAGACACTTGCCTCAGTTGGAAGCTACTTCAACATCGAAAGACTTCAGGGCAGCTTTCAGAAGTTCACCTGGAAGAATCTGTTGAGCCCAGAGAAGAAAATAAAAACTTTTTTTCTGGGTTAGGGGATTAGAACTGGGTTATGGGTTAGAGCAGACCCATTACGGCCATGCTGGCTATAACATCAAAGCTGAATCTGATGGGAGTGAGATGTGTAACCCAGAGTGGGTGGGCAGGAGGGAGGACATGTAGAGAGTGGCAGGAAGGGATGGACATTGACAGGAGGGATGGGAGGAGAGATGCAGCGGGCTTCTGAAAATAGACATACTTGGTTTAAAGGGTGGAATATACTGGAACACTGCCTGACAAGCCGAAAAAGAAAAGGGGTGAGGTGGAGGCCTCATCCTCAAATAGCTTTATACTGGAGCTCATTAAATGTGAATCTCTTAGCTCTTGGTTCACTGATGTGAGGAAAGACGGACTGAAGAGTTTGGGCTTTTGAAGGGAGTTCTGTTTATGTATACGTCAACATTCAGTTGGAGGTGAAAAGGTTAGCACTTGACCCAGGAAGTATCCATGTTTGTTTCAAAAATAGATCCGCTTCATAAATTTCTTCACCATTCATTTTTTTCCATTATGAACTTGGATTATTTAATAAAGGAACTATTGTTATTTTAAAGAAAATCAACCTATTAAATAGGCATTAGCTAGGTGCTATGACACACATAGGGGAAATTTCAGCTTCACAATGGAATGCATTTACTTTTTTTCAAGAAAAGGCTCACCTCTGAAAGTACACGCCAGCCTTCCGTCCCCCTCCCCATGTGAAATGAGCCAACGTTGTTGGAACCAACAAATTGTAGCCAAGCCAAATACAGGGATGCTTAAGCATATGTGAAACTTGAATATATTTATTACAGACATCTTAAGACCCGTAAACTCTGCTCTGGATCATATTACTCCAGGATCTCAGAGCTGTTCATGATTGTACAGGAAAGGGGGAATATCATAGGCTCACAAAGAATAACTGATATAACTCAGTGTGGGACTTTAGGGACATCAAAACATTGTGCGACATGCAAAAGACTATTCACGAATCACACAAAATATACATTCATTGTGCCATCCATCACATTAACAGGTGAGCTGAAAATACATCATATCCAGCTAAGATAACTGTGGAAGGGAGAAGCTGCTTTGAATAATACCTCTAGGTTCTGAATAATCCAGCACAAATTTTAAATAGAGTGTGGGCAGAGAAACAATCAACGGGTGGGCATGGGGAGAGACTTAGCACAGGAAGCAAGGTTTTTGAACCTTGTGTTCTGTAGGCCTTCTTAACTCACTGAAAGAACAAATGCAGGATACCCTCTGAGGCATCTGACTGAGTTTAAGTGAGCGATTTTATTCTTTAACCTATAATCACATATAAAATTGTACCAGCTTTGAGTTACCCACCCTGTTTTAGTCACTTAATCTAAACATTTCTAGAAAATCTGTATAAAGATAAATCTCTCAGGATAAAGTATTTACAACCAGCAAACACACACATGAAATTGAATTAAATAAAGGGATGAATTAATTGTGTAAACACGCTCATAGTGCAGCTCTTCTTTATGAGCTCCTGGACTCTCCTTTCTCTCCTACTTTAAGGGCAAAGTAGGGGAGAACTGTAAATATACAGGCAGGTAAAAGGCCTTCTTCTGACATGTTTCTGCTGGCAAAGGAGACTATACTCCAAAGGACATCTGAAAGGAACGGATTGTGTGGAAATCTCCTAAAGGTAGGGAGGGGTGTTGGGGCTGTCAAAAAATTAATTATGGCACCTACTCTGCATCAAGGAGTTAGCACACACACCCAATCAAGCCTCTAATCTAGAATTCTCTGGAAACACATTATCCTGGCCAGGAGCTTCCCAGATAGGATCAGAAAGGAACAGAGAGACTGTAAATGGAAAGGAAGATAAGCTAAGAATGTGCTTTGGGTAAGAAGTCCCCAGCCCTCTGAGTAGCCTGGGCTGCGGAGTCTGGGGCTGGGTGGGCCTCAGTGAGAGGTAGTCAGAGTGTCTGAGGTAGAAGATCCCGGAGAAGGAATGCAGGGTGAAGAGCTGGACTTCTCTGAAGATTCCTCAGCCTTCTCCTCACTTCCTGGCGGGGTGGCAGGAGAGATGGGCAAGAGGCCCTCCTTCTCTCGTTTCTTTTGCTTCATCCGGCGGTTCTGGAACCAGATCTTCACCTGGGTCTCATTGAGCTGCAGGGATGCGGCAATCTCCACCCTACGGGCCCGCGTCAGGTACTTATTGAAGTGGAACTCCTTTTCCAGCTCAGTGAGCTGCTTGGTGGTGAAGTTGGTGCGCACTGCATTGGGTTGACCCACGTAGCCGTACTCTCCAACTTTCCCTGTGGGCACGGTGGGGAGCGATGAGAGAGAAGGGTAAACATTTTTACAATGCATGTAAGATCCCCTACACGCTCCAGAGCAACATTCAGGTAAAGGGGGGAGAGAGAATTTCGCTACAGAAACTGGGCTGGGTGACTGATGAGGTGTAAAGTGTTAATCCAAAGTCAACCATTAGCATGGTCAGACCCGTGATTTATGAAGGCTGGAGATATTAATGGAACCACACACCACCACCACCCACACACCCCTACCCACTTCCTACTCCAGAACCTCTAAAAACTCAGCCCTTTGAGAAACACAACAATCCCAGATGCTCCTCTGCCCCACACACCTGGGCAATCTCTCCACACAGAACAACACCAGTGGGAAGCAAGAAGTTTTGTTTGTTGTTGTTGTTGTTGTTGTTTTAAGTATTAATTTTCCTTGGCAACTAAGCAAACAGGCTCCTTCCAGAACCATCAAGGAACATGCAAGGAATGGCAAGACTGACCTGTTTTGGGAGGGTTTCTTTTGACTTTCATCCAGTCAAAGGTCTGCGCTGGAGAAGACGTCTCTGATGTAGGGGAGCGACAGGCTTCTTGGTGGCTGGCGTGGAGAGGGGACAAGGAGTTATTATACGTGGCCAGGGCCAGGCTCTGGTGCTCTTGTCCATATGAGTGGTGAATGTACTGAGGCGAGCCCACCGCGCCCCCGGCATAACCCTGGTGGTGGTGGTGATGCTGGACCATGGGAGATGAGAGATTTCCAGAGTAAACTGCGGGAGCGCACGAGGGGTACCCACCACTTACTTCTGCTTCCTGATTTAACGCGTAAGGGCTGTAAGGCGCGCTGAAGTTCTGCGCGCTGTAGCTTGGACCACAACTCGAATGGGAGTAGGACACCCCCAGGTTCCCGGGAGTCTGGTAGGTGGCCGGTTGGGGGTGGTGATGGTGGTGGTGGTGGTGGTGGGGTGGGCTGATCTGCACCCCCCTGGCCACTAGGAAGCGGTCGTCGCCGCCACAGCTGTTAGCACTGACCGCGCACGACTGGAAAGTTGTAATTCCATGGTCGGAAGGGTAGGCTCGCGCTGAGCAGGTCCCTGAGTCGCCACCGCTGAGGATGGGGTATTCCAGGAAGGAGCTCATTCTTGCATTGTCCATCTGTCACTGAGGGACGGGGTCCTGCGAAGCCCTGGGTGACCGTGCCAACTTTCTCACTTCCTCCATGGGGCCGGAGAAGAAAAATGATATGAATGTACAGTGCGCAAGAGGGGGGGCGCGAGGGCGGAGGGCGCTGGGGGAGGGGCACGTGACTAAGTCAGCCAATGGCGGAGCCTCCTGCGAAAGTTTGCTGGCTCCCGCGGTGATGGATCACCGTTTCAGTGGCATTTAAATCCCCGGCGCTCCTCAGTCTAGGTGACGCGCAGTCGCCCCCCCAGGCAGCCCAGGCGGCGGCAGCATCTGCGGCGGCTGCAAGGGCAGATTTCGGAGCTCTGGGCCGAAGGGGAGCAGAAGCCACCCTCTGCGCGCGCCGACTCCGCTCTCCCCCCCTCCGGGAGGTGGGGGCTGGGAGGCATTCTCGTCTCCGCCCCCTCTCCACCGCGCACTGAGAGATGAACTGGCAAGAGGTGAGAAGGGAAGAGGGCTCCATCTCTCTTGGGTCGGGAATCAGTGGGCCAGAGCTCGCTGGCCTGCCACTAGCTCAGGGGCCGAGCCCGCAGTGCGCGGAGCAGGAAGGGTAGCTCCCCGGGCGCTTTCACTACACAGTCCCTGCTGTGGTGCCGGGGCAGTAAGGCGCGCAGAGGACAGTGGCGTAGGACGAGGCCAGGCCACCAGCTGTCCAAGCTCCGCTGGGAGAGGGAAGTGCGCAGAGGATTGGCCTGGAGAAACCCGGGTGAGCGTGCGGGGGACAAGAGCAAGGAAGGAAAAAAAAACAAAAAACAAAACCAAAAAAATTTCCCTTCTCCAAGGAGGGTCTCCGAAGCCTACTCCCTCCACCCCAACCGATTATTAGCAAGGCAATGAGGAGGTTCTGTAATTCGACGCTCGGGAGCGGGGGATTGGTAGTAGTTAAGCTTGCCGGAAAAGGCCGGGGGTGGCCGTGCTCTTCGCCCTCCCTCTCTCCTCGCTCTCCGCCCCTTTCTCCTCCCCACTCAGCTTTGCTCCGGGAGCCCTACGGGATCCGGAGCAGCTCGGCGGCTGGATTTTGAAGGGTAGAGGCGGGGGAGAAAGATGACGCTAGCGGACGTGGCCAGCGTGGGGGCCGGGCGGCACGCTGCAGGCCATCTGCCGGCTCCCTGGGACCCAGGAGCCTGCGCGCTCCGGCTAGGGCCTCAAAGGGCGAGACCACAGTCCAACAAAATACGCTGGACACCCCCCCCAAGCAATGGTGCTCGTGTTCTGGAGGGGGAATGTTAGGAGTGGTAGGGTTTCCTTTATCCACTAGCCGCCCCCCCCCCATTCTACTCCACGTCTGAAGTGGGTAGGGGCTGGCAGGTGGGAGGGGCGGTGGACAGATGGCTGATGGTGGACGGGATATTTTCTTCTTCCCCAACAACACCCCCTCCCCTTTGTAACTGACTGTGTAGTTCCTTGTGCGAACCTTCAAGTCTTTCCCTAGAGAGACGCGTGCAAATCTGAGCGTCATCCCAGGCCAGGGGTCCTGTTCTCCATCACCTTCATCCTACCCTGATGCTGACGGGGTCGTTAATTGCTGTTTACTATTGGGTTTCATGTCAACCCTTGGCTTGTAGAGAGAAAATGCCGAACTGAGACCGAGAATTGATGCATTCTTAGGTAAAAGAAATCCAGAGATCATCCAAGAAGCTTTGCAGGCGATGCAGTATAGATTTTTCCCTGACCATGTTTACCACATCGGAATCGGACATATAAAATTTATCTGAGGATGGGGTTCCCACTCCCCTCTAGCTTTCCCTCCCCAGTTAGAAGAAGGAAGTTTTGCTTGAGGCATGCACATTTCAAATGTGTTAGTCAACCTTTCTGCATTGTGTTTTCCACATATAGAAGTCTCCCTCACCCCAACTTGCCCCCACCCATAAGGGGAACTCTTGCAGACATTTGACTACGGATTCCCTCAGTAGCAAAGAAACATTTCCCCCGAAACATTTTCTTTCGAAACGGTATTTTTCTGTGACCTTTGACCCATCCCCAACCACGGTTAAGAGAGAGCAGGGATAGGAAAGGAATTCCTGCCCCAATTTCAGCACCTGGGGATGTTCATCTTCAGGAAGGGAAAAGGAAAGGCGGCCTTCCTGGAGGCGGCTTCCTTGGGAGCTCCAGACTTCCAACGATGGGAGAGAAGGGGCTCCTGTCGAGGAGGAGGTAGGACGTGAGAGGGTCGGTGCAGGCATTGCGGACGATCAGCTTTCCGAATCAAAGGACGTTCTTTCCCCTGGCCTCATTCTTGTCCCTTTGTTGGCTTCTTCAACCCGGATTCGCGCAACCCCCTTCGCCGCAGGACTTGAGCCACAAAGCCGCCCGGGGCCTCAACCGCTCTCCTTCCTCTGCTAGTTCTCGGCCTCGGCGCTCCACTCCTTCCACTTCTCTTCCTCCCTCCGGGCCTCATTCCCGCGCCAGGGTAGGAGTGTGTTTCTTGGGACCACATGCATGCACTTGCACGTAAGCCCTCAAGGACTCGGGCCGGCGACCGACCCACCTCCGCGCACTGCTCCCGGCTCCCGGCAGGCCGGACTCCTGAAGCCGAGCCTGCTCCGCCCCGGCTGGCCGCCCAGAGCGCTGCTCTCCCGGTGTTGCTTACAAAGGCAGTCTAGTCTGGCCTCGAGCCCGTGAGGCTTCCGTAGCTCCGTGCTTTCCCCACCCCCACGAAACCCCGGGATTCATACCGCCTTGTACAAGACCCTGGTTTTCTGAGCATGTAGGCCAGCGCCCCACGACTCATACTAAAGTCTCTTTAAATGCCCTGAGAGAGTGGGCGAAAGGAGAGCTTGGTTACTATTTAAATGATGGCCTGCAAGCGGCTTTCTGGCCTCAAAGTGCCTCTTTCAGGGCTCTTCTACTAGAAAGGGAAGGAGCAAGGAAGATACAAAACGCCGCCGAGGCCCGGAGCTGTTCATGGCATCCGCAGCTCAGCCAAGCTGTTGTTTTAAAAGAGCAATAAAAATGAATTATGACTAAACGCCTTCTAACTTAATGCTTTCGGACGGGGATCCCCGGCAAATACGTAAGAGGATTTTTATTTGTGCATGTGTTCCTGCAATTGATCTCTTTGATGACATTCTCATTCATAGAAAGCGTTTGATTTATGAGCGTAGGACGAATCGCAAACAGCAGCGGCGCAGCCCTGGCTGCGGCCGGGCCGCCCTGCTCAACTCCGCGACTGGGGCTGGAGACCCGCCGGGGCCCTCACACGCCTCCGCCGCTGCCAGGATTTAGGGGGCAAGGGGCTGAGAAAGGTAGGGTGCAAACCCCTGGAGAAAGACCTCGATTTCACCGTAATTTCCAAGCCTTAGCTATTAAGAGCCGGGTTCCTAAATCAACCCGCCCCCCTGCACATGTTGCTTACAGGCTGCATTTTCTCACGGTAAGTTAGTAGCCATCACAGCAGAGCTCAGGGAGGGAAAAAAAAACAGCATGTAGAGATGTAAGAAGGGGGGGAAAACCAGAACAACCCAGTAACGTGCCCTAGATCACATTTTATTGACATTTCATTTAAAGTGCTTTTTCTCTTTCTCTCTCTAGAAACTGGGTTAATTTATAACCTGGGGCGCAGAAACTCTCCATTTTAAATCTCAACTTGGTAACCTGACTTCACAGCTTTAATGATCCATTATTTGTCATGTAAACAGATTTAAGAATGAAATATTGATTTTTCTATCCCTGAAAAAAGAAACCTAGAATGACTGAACCAGAGGATTGGAGAGAACCCTTTCTGAAGTGCATTTTCCAGCTAGTAACCATTGTTTTGTTTTGTTTTTGTTTTTCTCTACCTTTTAGGTCTGTTTGCCTGGACCCATCAACAGCTGGGAGACTAATCAACCACACTGAAAATGTTTCCGGGATTGTGGGGGAGGGGTTGGAATGTAGATGTTTGAAACAAATGTGTATAAATAAATGAATTGTTGATAACTTAGTTATTGACCTGAAGACTGGTAGCTTGTTAAAGAAACTCCATGTTTCTCCTTCCCGGAGTTGGGGGTTTCTGTAGGCACTTTATTTCTCCGCTTTGAAAGGCTTGGGCTTGGCCCAACTCTGAGGCTGTCCAATCCCGCTTCTATTACCAATTTAAATCTATAGCTTGAACCTCTACACTAAAAAACCAAATCCATTCCCTTTTTAAAGAAAGAAAGAAAAAGAAAAAAAAAAACACTTCTTGGAAGTCCTAACCATTTTCTGGCTTTCTTTTCATTGGTGTCTATTGAAGACTTTGAACATGCCCCCTTAATAAATATATTAAAATTGAAAAAAGAAGATGAATTGTGACCAGAATTTTATTTACCAAGTTAGACTAAAGGAGGAAAAAGAAACCGTTATGAGCCTTGAGAAAGAGGGGGGGGAGAAAAAAATAAGAAAGCTACTTATAGCAAAGGAGAATTTATTCTACCAAAAATACTCATGACAATGCATCCTAAGGTAATACAAAAATAAAAAGAAAGTGAAGATACAATTATATGATCACTTTCTTGCAGGCCTCATATATTGCTTTCAGAAAATCACATAGAGGGTCGTTGGATTCAATTTAGAACAACTAAAACTCCAAAATAATCTGTAAAAGATGGCTCTGAAACTGGACCAGGAGACTCACTAAACAGAAAATCTTCCACATTTAGAGGACAGACAGGGTAGGTCAAGAAGAAAATAAAATAAAAATCAACTCTCTCGGAATAAAAGAAGGCCAAACCACCTGGTCAAAGGGGTTTTTGTTTTGTGATGCTTTGTTTTGCTTTAATGTTTTTAGTAATTCAGATGCTGCAAGTCGATTGTGGTGAGTGTGTCTGTAAAAAAGTCAAAGCTGTCAGCTGAAATATCTACGGGACTGTCCAGGGAACCTGGCAAACTGGGCGAAACAGCATCTGAAAGCTGCAGGCAGGAATCTGTGGAAAAAACGTTAAAGTCCTGCAAAGAGGGGACCTCGAGGGCCTCGGGACTGTCATTGTTTAGGCCAGAGCCACAGTTCTGGCCCATTGTTGACAAGCAGTTAGAAACAGTGGGTGACTGGTGCTGAAAATGTTTCAGATTTTTCTCATTGCTGGTTAAAGGCGAAACTGGGAAACTTTGGGAGTCGCCATTGTGTCCATTGGGAGCCTGCTGCTGAGAGAGGGCATTTTGCTGAAAAGTGTAACCTTCCCTCTCCAGAAGGGCCCCAGAGACGCTGAGGGCTTGCTCAAAGAGCGACTTCTCCTCCTCATCTTCCTCCACTTTCTCAGAGTCTTCCAGGCTTTTAAATTTCCCTTCGCTGTTTTGGTTCTCCTTGCACTGGGTCTGCCTCTTGTGCTTCATCCTCCGGTTCTGAAACCA